CTTTGGGGCTTTCTGGAAATTAAAGTCCTCACATCTAGAAGTTGCCAAAGTTGGGAACAGAGTTTAGGGAAATGAAATCATTTCCTACAGAATAAGAAAATGATTTTATATTCTTATGTGATGGGACTCAGTTGAGATTTCTATAGCTTAAGAGGATGTGATTTTAAAAAATATTTTATTCTTCCCATAAAACCTGGATGTAAAATAATATGGTCCATTGGTCAGTTCATGGTCCATTTTAACACGTGGGATAGATTTTTACACTCTTTCCACTACATTCTGGAAATATTTTAAAATTGGGAAGCTTTTTTTTTTTTAAATTGTCATCCTGGTTCACATACAAGTTGGTTTGTGGGACTCAAGAAATCTACGTCATGTTCTTGGCTCCTTCATTAGCTTCCTATGATACTGGATTGATTGCTTTAATTTCCATGTGTTTTCACTTCCTTTTTTTTTCAAATTAAGGATTATGATCTTTGCTTATCTACCAAATACATTGAATGTAATTTACCATAATGAGCCTTTATTCATATGTTAATTAATAGAATTAATTAGTTTCATTAAATGTTTTTTAAATATGTTGTTTATTGGGTAAGCATCAGGCCAAGTGTATTATAATTTAAGGCTAAAGGTTCAAATATTACTTTGAGTAATAAAGGTAGGTCAAACAGGTGGGATTTTTTTGGGGGGGGCAACACCAGTATTTGGAAAATTACACAAAGTGGATGTTAGATAATTAGGGCAAAATTATACTCCCCTTCTTTCCACTGTTAGGGTGGTGCTGGAGATAATTCTTCAGTTTTAAACATGGTATTTACCCTTTTGTAGAGCTTTTGTGTTTTTTACACCACAGCCAAGCACAAAATCATGTTTTTGGCTTTTGTGGACAAAACAAAACGAAAGAGTTCCAGAGCCTCCTGTGGCTTGGCTTATTCAAACACCTCCACATGGTGCAATTCTTGTAAGGCATGGGTAAAAATTAGATTTTCAAATTAGTGCCAGTTTGGCATCAACTCTCAGTGAGGATGTGGACATTTATGTGCTTCTCAAAAATACAGTCATATCACGGTCACAGCTTTCCACTGTTTTGAAGATGGAAAATATTTCATAGGCCTGAACATTACTCACTATTTGGTGCTGTAAGGGGAACAGATAAGTAGAGTTGTCTATATGTGAGTGGACAGATACTCTGGCTCTGGAATAAATATGGGTGTGTCTTATTAGCAAAAGTTTTGAAATTAATTAGTCATTATTATCCATCTATTATGACAATAAACCCTTCAGGCAAAGTCATAAACCTGACATTCTTGAAACGTCTTTAAGAGAATCTGAGCTATTATATTGAGTGTGATTTTTTTTTAAAAAAAATGATTTATTGTTTTAATGTGCTGCTGATTAATTGAACTCATCCAGCTTCCAAAAGTGGAAAATCATTGATCTGCAGCTTGCTTTGATTCTTTAGTATGATGGAATTGACTTATGAGCTCCTATTGATGTATAGCCCACCTCAAGGAATGCGGAAGAATTTATAAAAAATTATTTTTGTTTGTTCGTTTGTTTTACTGCCTGGCAAGCATTCAGTTGAACAAGAACAGGCAGCCCAGCAAAAAAATCTCATATGGAATATCACTTGAAATGAATGGGAGCTGTGCAAAATCTTTTAGAATACAATTCAAAATGGAAAGTCTTTTTTGTTTTGTTTATTATTATATTTATAGCTTTCCTTTCTGCTTAGATTTTACCCTGATGGTGAAGATGATTTACATTGTTGCATATTCAGGGCAAGTAAAAACTTGATTCATTTAATTCCAAAGGCAACTTTATATGTTTCTGGCAACACTATACTATTATTTCTGTTATAAATTATATTATGCAGTTTTTATGTCTAGCCTTGCAAATGCATTTCATTATTTCCCACTTCAGAAGTGCATTTCATTTAATTATACCTGCCAGTGTAGTATCAGTTAGAAATGTTTGTGGATTCCTCCAGTAAAGTCAAGTCTCTAGGCATAGATAGATAGAGCTTTAACGAAGCTTCCTAAGCTGCAGTTAAATAATAAGCAAAGGCAGGAATAAAAATAAAGAGAGGGTTGTTTTTTTAAACCATGTCGCTAAATCTATTTTACCCTTTGCAAATTCAGGTTGCTTATTCATGATGGCTAGCAATGTATCAAATCAGATTTCCTGCAATTTGTTTCATTCACAAGCTTTCTAGCCTTTTTGTTTTAATTTCTAGGTACTGATTTTGAGCTTCCTGTAAAGGCCAGTGGGCATACAATCATGGGCAGCTTTCCTTTAGTCCCAAATGTCTAGGACAGCAGCCATAGCTCCACCTGAAAAAGTCCCTGTGGTGTTTTGGTGTCTTCTTGTAGATCAGGGGTCTCCAACCATGTCAACTTTATGGCCTGTGGACTTCAACTCCCAGAATTCCCCAGCCAGCTGGGAGTTGAAGTCCACAAGTCTTAAAGTTGACAAGGTAGATTGAAGCCAAGTGTGAGAAGCCGGGGACGTTCTCGAAAGATTGACCTACACGCCTCAGGATAATGCTGAAGAATCCAATGCGAGTCAGTCACTGGAACCAAAGGTTTATTCTTCCAAGCTTTTGGGCTCCTGAAGGGAACTTCTCTCTCTCCACAATATGTGCACAGAGCTTTTCTACGAGTTATATTTATATGGTTTTACGTACACTTTGTCCCTATGGTACCTAAGTAAGTGCAACAGGGAACAGATTTTAAACATTTCCTTTCAGCAAAGTACCAGAGGAAACTAAGAAAAATTACACTTCGGGACAGCAAGGCAGGGCATAACCTGACTGGAAGAGTAACTTGCTAGTGCTTATTGTAGACTTGCTCAGGCTTATTATTTACTACTCTTAATTGAGGGTAAAACATCCGGGGGAGCCTCACCTTCTCGGATTAGCAAATTGGATGAAAAGCCACATGACATTTTCCGTCCTTTAATGAAATGCGTTCATCGGAAATGGGGCTGCCAGATTTCCCCCGGTTTGTTTGTTTGTTTGTTTGTTCCCGAATCAGCCACGGATCAGGCGCTTGGGCTCCGCTGGTGGACCTCCAAGCCGAAGTCAGGCCAGATCTGGAGATTGCGCTATCAGCAGGAGGGGCGGGAGAAGAACGCGAGTCGTGAGTTTCCATCACAGAAGTGAGAAGCCCCGCCTCGAGAAAGAAGCCAGCGAAAGCTCCGGGCTGGAGTAACATCCTGGAGGGGGAATTTCCTCCGAGGTCGATGTCCTATAGGGGGGTTGGGGGAACCTTCGGAGATAACCAGCGGGTGGTGCAATGGGAGCGCGTCACCGGGAGGTTGAGCTCTTGATAGATGGAAGGCGGCGGAGCTCCTGAGATAGGTGCCTTCCCGTTTCCTTTCCCCAAAAGGGTGTGTCACGCCTTGGGTGTCGGGCTTGCCGAGGAGGTCTCAGCTCGCAAAGACAAAAGCTAGGGGCTCCCCTTCTGCATTGTAGTCCCGTCGCTCAAAGCAAACACTTGCTTTCCCGGGAGTGTAACGTGTAGAACGTCCATCTTCAGAATCAATGTATCCGTAGTTCAACCCTGCGTTTTGCAAGTCTCCGGGTTGCGAATGCACGTTATGCAGTGGCGGATTAAGGCTCACTTGGTGCCCTAAGCACTAACCAATCTTGGTGCCCCACCTCCTTTGTACATACTGGACAAACGAAGCCAAGCTTAGGCTACATAAAAGTTTTTGTACCCTGCTTCTCCCATGGTCCCCTTTGGGCCTGGTGCCCTAAGCACGTTCTTAGTCTAATGGTTAATACACCACTGGCGTTATGGCAAACAAGTGCTCGACCTAAGAGAGGTCTTTGTCCTGTCTCCTTAGGGCAGCGGTCCCCCCCCACCCACCCACCCAAAACTTGGCAACTTGTAAGACTTGTGGACTTCAACTCCCAGAATTGAAGTCCCCAAATTCTGGGAGTTGAAGTCCACAAGTCTTAAAGTTGCCAAGTTTGGGGGGACCGCTGCCTTAGGGATTCGACCAGTGTCCCCCGATCTGGTGTGGATAGAGGAAGGGAAACCCATGGAGTGACAGGCCCGGAGACCCATACCTGGATGCGGAGAATCTTAAAGGTTGAGGTGAATCAATGCTTTCTAACCAAAGGATCAGTTAAAAAAAAAAACACCCCAAGGAACATTTCGAAAATAAGTTTAATGGACAGGCAACATGGTGGGAGGGGGAAAAAAAAAAGCTGCGAGGAAGGGGACTAAAATGTCGGCCACTTCCCAAAAGTCCAGAAAAACTGCCCCCCTCCCGCTGTCCCTCAAACTGGAAAAGCCTATTTGGAAAAAAGATGCCGTTTGGAGTTGCGACCGTCAGCAAAGTCCATTCTCTCCCTGGGCGAGGCGAGTTACTAAAACGCGCAATCAACCTCTGAGCATCTCGACCGAGGCGGCCCGTTCCCTCCTTTCGTCGGGCAAGAGAGAAGTTAGAAAGTTTGCCTGAAACGCAAAAGGGGAAAAAAAATTGTGCCCGAGACTGAAGATCCCGAAGGTGCCTCGTTGATTTCTCTCTGTATTTCACAATGTGTCCATTGGCAAAGAGCCTTCCGAGGGGCCAAGGAGGACGGCGGGGTGCGTGTGCGCGCGCGTGTGTGTAGGGTTGGGTGAGGGAAAAGCTCCCCTACTTGGGGAGAGAATATCCTTCAGAGCAAGCCTGGCATAGCAGCGCTCCCACCCCCACCCACCGGTCCCCAAGATCGCTCCGCTTCCCCCTCCCCAACGTGATCCAAGACGATCCCGAGCGTGCCAGAGAGGAAGAGTCGTGCTCCCGGTTCCCAGATGGAAACGTGCCCGAGAGAGCATTCGCTTTCTTTGCCCCGCCAGGAAGCATCGCTGCAAATGGGAAGAAGGGGGGGGGGGGGGGGGGGAGAGAGAGAGAGAGAGAGAGAGAGACCAAGTGACGTGAGGGGAGGGGGGGCGTGATGGAAAGGAGGATGCGGGCTGGGAAGTTATAAAGGAGCTGAGCCCGGGGAGCAAGGCACCCTTCGGATACTGCCGCGAGGTGTGGATCCCCCCAGCTGCCTTCAGAGCCCGGCGCGCTTGAGGCTCTCGCTGGCTTAGAAGAAACTTTCCTCTGCGGCTGCCGGGCGAGCGAGCGAGGGAGCGCTTGGGCTCGACAGCGGCGAAGCGCATCTCGGGGCAGAGGGCAGCCGTTTCTCTCCCTCCCCGGTGGCGTTTTCCCTGTGGCGGCATGTTGAGCTGGAGTCTCCCTGGAACCGTGCTGGGCGGGCTGCTGGGTTTCTGCCTTCTTCTAGCAGGTAAGGGCGAGTCTCTCATCCACCCACCCCATCAGCCGTCGCCCTCCGCTTCCTCTGGACCCGGTGCCGACTCGGAGCAGGACTAGAATGGTTCCAGGGCGGGACGGGGGATTGAGGGGTGTTGGGGGGGGGGGTCCGGCGGGGCGCACCGTAAGCTCGGAGCCTCGTGGTTTCTAGCCCCCGTACGCCCGGGTTGGGCGAGTCTTGGTCCCAGAGGACCAAACGCTCCTCTTGGCGATGCGAGCCCAGCTTTGGCTTGGCCACTCCTCTTGCACGGGGCTCGCTTCCAGAGTGCGCCGGGACGGGCGCGGAAGAACCGAATCCTAAAAGTTCCTGGATCTCTCCTATCCGCCCCTTCTCCCCACCCTCCCCCGGCTTTTCCGCGAAGGCACCTGCGGGCGTAGAAAGGGCCGCGAGGCGGAGCGCGCTGAAAAGGCTTCCCTCGTTCGAGGAACGCTTGCCCGCCGCTGGAACTCGCAGCATAGATAATAAGCGCGGAGGCAGATGGTCTGGGGCTTCCTTGCTATTTTGCTGAGCCGATCCTTGCTTTTTCTCCCGGGGGAGGGAGGGAGGGAAGGGAGGGGGGCAGGGCAAAGGAAAACCATCCCTTCCCGCCCCCCCCCCCCCCCCCGGGGACGGGGTTGTGGCTCTGAACGAGCTGGTGCTTCTGACGATCTGGACCATCAGGGCGAAGGGATTGTCCAGTTTTAGGAAAGTCTTGGGATGCCCCAAATGCATATAGACTTGGGACGTGTATAGCATTATTTCAGGATGCCCTTGGCACTTTCACTCAGATGGGTGAAAGACAACCGTGTCTGTCTATGCCAGGGATCTCCCAACTTGGGCAACTTTTAAGACTTTGTGGACTTTAAACTCCCAGAATTCCCCAGCCAGCCAATTTCCCCATGCTAACTGGGAAATTCTGGGAGTTGAAGTCCACAAAGTCTTAAAGTTGCCTAGTTGGGAAATCGCCGGACTAGGCGAATTGTCTAAAGCAGAGCAGAACTTGGCTGGGGGGGATTTGGACAACAGGTTCCTAGGAAAAAGCGTCCTGGTTTTTGTTATCTACCGCGACAGGTGATGAAACCACGGACGCCTCGGCTTGGTACAATAGAAAATCAGATAACTTTGTACGCCTGGCTTCACGAAGGGTGTGTGTGTGTGGGGGGGGGGGGGTCATCTAAACCGAGCATAAAGTTTTGTATGGAGCAAAACGGGGTTCTCGTGCTTTAGTGCGGTGCAAAAACCTAGGCATCGTGGCTTATTCAACAAACCAAGATGGGGTAAAAAAATGAGCGGCTAAGGCTAATCCCTGTGCCCCCCCCCACTCCTCCTCCGTAAATCTGGCTCTGGGATGGGAACCCAAGCGGCTCTGCAAAACAACCCCGCAAAGACGGGAAAGTCTTGGGAAGAATGTGAGGCTTGATTTTTCTTTTGGAAAGAAGGAAGATGCAGTGACTTGCCGGCTTCTTCTCCCGATCTGGCCGCAAGACAGAGTCAGCCAGCCTCCAGGGAAGAGAATTTACTAAATCAGAGCTCTCCAAACTTGGCAATTTTAAAACTTTTTTTCCTCCCAATTTTTTATTTTATTTTTACATACAATAAATCCATTCCATTTCAATCGTGTGTCGATTAGGTACATATTTAATGTGCTTACAATTAATAATAATACTTTTCTTATCAATATAACAATATAACAATAATCGCATTCCCCTATGAATAATATAAGTACTATCCAATATATCCATTTCACCAGATTCTTTTATTGCTTTAAAACTACATATAATCCATTTTAATTTATTTTATTTTCTAACCATTGATAAAACAAATCCCATACCATGTAATATTCAGATACTTCCTTTTCTTTGAGTTCTAATGTTAGTCTATTCATTTCTGTACATTCAAATATTTTTTCGATTGCTTTTCCTTCTATCGGTATCTTATCACTTTTCCAATTCTAAGCAAATACAGTTCTAGCTGCTGTTAAGACGGCAACTTTAAGACTTGTGGAATTGAAGTCCACAAGTCTTAAAGTTGCCAAGTTTGGGGACGTCTGTGCTAAATGGTCTGGACAGGCAGGGATTTACATGGCAACCCACTGCAGTGTTTTTCTTGATGAGCTTCAAATACCTAGGCAAGGGGGGGGATTGTCCATGGGTGCTGGAGGGGGGAACGACCAAACATTCGGCTCCCCAGTGCGCTGAACCGTGGAAGGAGAAGCAACCAGTGCCTGGAAAGAGGCTGGGAGAAAGAGAGAGGAGGCCCAGGAGACACCTGCTGGGACCACACGCGAGGGGGTGGAAGGGGGATAGAGACCATCGACTGTGACCTGCAGTTGGGTTGGCTGCGCTCTCCTACTGGAGAAATATATTCCCTGGGGAGCCTTCGGGAGGAGTGGGGCATCCTCAGTGGGGCTGGCTTACAACCCTGCAAGAGAAGATGTAGCTGGAGAAGTGAGAATGTGGATGAAAGATGATTCCCCTTAACCATGAAGCAGACCAAGCACGTGCTTAGGGCACCAGGCCCAAAGGGGGGCACCACAAAGTTGAGAAAGAAAGAAAAAAAACCAATGGAGATTTGTAAAAAAAAAAAATCTTGTACGTACAAAGGAGCAGGACATCAAGATTGGTCAGTGCTTAGGGCACCAGCGAGCCTTCATCTGCCACGGATTCCCCACAGTGCCAAAATAAATACCGGGGGATTTCGGAGCGATGAGAGGAAGTACATCTTTATGCTGTTGTATTTAATCTGTAAAAGCCAGATGATGGGATGCTTTGGAAAGGAAAGAAAGTGGCTAAGGACTAAAGCGAGAGAAGCTTTCAGGCCTTAGGCAGCACACCTTAATCGATGGCTGCTGGGAAACAAAGCAAAACAAAAGGAGACCTCTGCAGCTGTCCTCTCTGCTGTAAGGTGCTCCCTGAATGAGTTTGGTTAGCCGTGGCTGGACACACACCTGCCCATCTGATGTGCCTGTGGCTTGACCCTTCAGGATCTCTTAAACATATTAGTACTTATGACCAGAGTAACTTCCCTCCCTCCCTCCCCAGTCCTCTGAACCAGAGGTATCCAACCTTGGCAATTTTAAGACTAATGGACTTCAACTCCCAGAATTCTCCAGCCAGCATAGCATAGCTGGCTGGAGAATTCTGGGAGTTGAAGTCCACTAGTCTTAAAATTGCCAAGGTTGGATACCTCTGCTCTGAACCATTCAGCTGAAGTGTTCCTAGTTGTTCTATTCCATAAAATACTTTCCTTCCTAATATAACCTTAGCTGAAGAAAAAAAAAGGCAGCAGTATTCAATGCACTAGTATTCTTTGGGAACTCATTCACATCTTATGGTTTGCTTAATTATGCAATAATTAATTGAATAATCCACAAGCAGATGGGTTCACCTGACACACTAAACCAAAACCAAATTTTGCCTTAGTGCAATATGTGAATGGAACGATAGGGGTTTATCTCTGAAGAGATATTCCAGGATGAGGAATATTTCTGGAGTTAAATATAATTCTCTTTTAAAGTATGCCAATATTGCATAGTGCTTGTGCAGTAAAAATAGTTTGATGATAAGGAAACATTTTTTGACAGTGTTGTTTAAAGGCATTGAAGTTAATTGTCCATTGGATAACACCTATTTTGGTCAGAATGGGTTCTGAATGTAAAAATGTTCCTTTCCAATTAGTATACATGAAAATTATATATCACTTCTCAGGGATGTGTAATTCTTCGAAAAGTATTACTATTGGAAACACACAGGGTTGAGGAAGCCCTATGGTTAGTCTACTGTTTTATATTTTAAAACAACACATTGGGAATGCTAGCAGCGCTTTAAGTTTCTCTTTAGAGAAATAACCAAATCTAATGTTGGTTATTCTTATTCTTGGCATTCTGCTAAGTGATTTTTTTTCTCCTAAAAGAAGCAGATCATAGTAATTTACTGTATAGATCACACACAAATATTGTGTGTGAAAGTTGATAAAATCCATAGTAGAGTCTTTAATTTCTTAAGTTCATAAAAGCCAAAGTGAAAATATATAATTGATACTAAACTGAGAACTCAGGTATTAAATATAGCTATTAGATGGGAAAACGATATCTCTAGGGTGGGGAAGGGATTGAGATAAGTAACATCTACTGCATTTTGGGGTATGGCCTAGCCAAAGACACATATTTCAGAATTGGGAGCAGCAACTCCATTGCTAAGTAGCACAATCATAAAGTGAAGTGTCACATGATTGTGACTGATTTACAACATAGTTGGTTAGTTCCAGTTGTGGTCATTAGTGCAATGTCACATGACCACAATTTGCGAGTCCTGCCAGCTTCCCCATTGGCTTGTCGGAAGCCAGATGTGAAGTTGCAAAGGACCATCATGTGACCACAGGAGGCTGCATCCATTGTAAAAGCGCACCAGTTGCCAAGTCCCTGCAACATAATCATGTGATTGTGGGGACACTGTGATGGCTGCAACTTCAAGACTGGTCTAAGTGTTGTAACTTTCAATGGTCAGTGAACAAATGGTCAATAAGCAAAGACTGTAAGTGTATTTTATTCAAATAGTGAACAATAGTAAATATATGATGTACATATACATAATTTTAACTTTTAGAGAACTGTATTTAGTAAGTAATCCATTAAATACTGCAACATGATGGAGACCAGAAGACGTTAGTGGTGTTGATAGTTGGTGTGTTGCATATTGTTTCTTTAATTGATGTGCAACACTTATTTTGGAATAAGTAAAATATGACATACATGAGCACATATAGCTGGTGTTTGGAATGGATAATTGATTTTTAAAATGTATTTTTCTTCCCACCCACCGCCACCAATGATGCCTTTTTGTATTCAGACTGCATAGGGATGTTTGAGTAGACTCAAAAAGATTGCTTAACATTTGAGAACAATCAAAGGAATCAAATTATTATTGAGCATAGATATATATGAAACTGTATGTATTTTCCAGTGATACAGTCTATATCTGAAATCAATTCAGGTA